CATCATCCCGTATACCAAAAGGTCTGATTCCTGATCAGGGCACATATTTAAGTTGTAGGTTTGATCCCTGGTCAGGCTCATATGGGAGGCAACTGATCAATGTTTCTCTCTCATACCAGAAAAAAAAAAAGGACAGAAAATTTCGTTCTCTTCTACCCTTGCCCCCCTCTCCCTCACATAGGCATCCTGTTTTCATCCTCCCAAAGAAGTTCTCTCTCTCTCTCTCTCTCTCTCTCTCTCTCTCTCTCTCTCTCTCTCTCTCTCATTTCACCTTTAGTAATGATGCACTCTCAAACCCTCCAGACAAAACTGAAAACTCTCCTTGGCAGATTTAAACAAATCACATAATCTACATGTTGGAGCCTCTGTCCTTTTGGTCCAAATTAGATGGGTTGTTCCATGTATTCCCTCAATTATAGAGGCCCAAACTGGGAAACAGTTTGTGGCGGGAAACAGAGAAGGTTCGGAGCCTCAGCTATGGATTAGGCCTCCGTCACTGCTAACTGTGTTTATTCCCCCTTCTTCCTTTCGGGTGCCGCACTGCTGTCCCCGTTTCACACTTTTGGCTGTGCGGATAGAGACTGAGTTTCCATCTCCCTGCTGCTAGAAGACCAGCTGTGTGGTGACAGAACGAGTGGAAGTGAGGAATGCCACTGGGCCTCGCTCCATCTTTCTTTCCTCCTTGAGGACTGAATCATGAACTGATGGTGCCCGGCCAGCGTGGCTCAGTGGTTGAGCATCGACCTATGAACCAGGAGGTCATGGTTCGATTCCCAGGTGCATGCCTGGGTTGCGAACTCAATCCCCCGTTTGGGGCATGCAGGAGACAGCCAATCAATGATTCTCTCTCATCATTGGCCTCTCTCTCTCTCTCTCTCTCCCTCTCTCCCTCCTCCTTCCTCTCTGAAATCAATAAAAATATATTTTAAACAACAACCAAAGTGAACTGGTGCTCATAAGCCACTTCAGCCGAGAGGACCACCTCCCTCCAGACGGCTGCCTGAAGAGGAGTAAACTCCCACCTTGTGATAAAGAAAACTTGCACCAAACCTGGTTTGCTCCAAAGCATGTTGTACTTCCCAAGCTCCTTCGGGTAAGGCGCCGGCATCCTGGAGGCAACATTCTAGCAAACTGCACCGCCTCCTCTGGTACCGCCTCCTGTGGGACACAGCCTCCACCCCTCAGCTGTCCCTCATGCAGGCAGCTAATGACCAGAACCGGACATTTTAAAAAAATATAACTGTACTGATTTCAGAGAGGAAGGGAAAGGGAGAAAGAGTTACAGTCGTCAATGGTGAGAGAGAATCATTGATCGGCTGCCTCCTGTACACCCCACACTGGGGATTGAGCCCACCACCGGGCCTGAGCCCTGACTGAGAAGCAAACCGTGACCTCCTGGTTCATAGGTCGGCACTCAACCACTGAGCCACACAGGCTGGGTGGAATCAGACATTCTCTTTTCTAGTGTCTGGCAGAGCCAAGAACAGCTAACCATTCTCTTTCCTCTAAAGGGGAAAGGTCTCTGAACCAGCGTGGTCCCAGCCTCCTTCCTCACGGCAAACCTGAGATAACACTTGGCATGCGGTCCTGATTCATCTGTCCGAAGGCTTGTTTGAGGCACTGTACTCTGGGGCCTCTTTGTTACAGCAGCTTGGCTGCACCCTAACTAACAGCGAGAAGGGCCATCTCCCACGCACCCCTGCCGTTCGCGGGGGTGAAAGGGAACAGAGAAATTAATAAGCGTGGGGCCCTGCATGGACCACGAAGAGCAGTGTGCTGTGAACTGAAGAGGATTCCCAAAGCCCTCTGTCCCCCCAAATCCAAAAGAAGAAAATAAGGGAATGCGGGGGAGGATGGAAATTAAACCTCAGAAAGGGCCTCAAGCCCTGGCCAGTTTGCTCAGTGGTTAGAGTGTCTGCCCACAGACTGGAGGGTCGTGGGTTTGATTCCCGGCCAAGGGCATGCACCTCCATTGCAGGTCCGTCCTCGGCCCCTGTTGGGGCACATGCAGTAGGCAACCAATCGATGTGTCCCTCTCACTTTGAGATTTCTCTGTCTTCCCCTCCTCTCCATCCCTCCCACTCTCTCTAAAAGAAAATCAATGGAAGAAATACTCCTGGGTGAGGATTTAAAAAAAGAAAAGAAAGGAGAGGAGGGGACCCAAGCCGGTCTGCCCCCTGGAGGCCATGCCTCGGAAGCTCCTTGTCCGGCCTGGGGCGGCCAGCGGCCGTGGGGCCCGGGCGGGGGAGGACTAGAGGCCAGGACGGGGCCTGGGCAGACAGGATGTGAGGCCTGGCGGTCACCATTCTCCCTGCCCTGGTTCCTGGTTCTGAGGCCACAGCACCAGCTGGGAACCCAGCAGCCAGGGAGACATGGGCCCTGGGTGCCTGGGGGAGGCCTGGGTTCTTAGGGAAACAAGCAGGGTCTCTCAAGGTCATGGCATCTCAGGCTGCTTCCTTTCTTCGAGGCTCATTGTGTTCTGGAAGCATTAAGAATCCCGAGAACAGCATTATGAAGACCGTGGTGTATCTTACATGCTTATGCCTGTCTGATTAATGCTTTTCTCTCTCCCTCTCTCTCTCTCTCTCTCTCTCTCTCTCTCACACACACACACACACACACACGATGCAGTTGTTGTGTTCACAGATAATTACAGGATCCACAAGGATGCTCACCCGGGAGGGGGCAGTCTGGGCTGGGACGTGCTTTTAGTGCCCCAGGAGTGTTCTGTCCTCAGTCCTGTCAGAGAAAGCGTCTGACTCTGTAACTGAATGTATAACTTCTCGTAGAAATAATACCAGCTTGTGTGAGAGGCTCTTCTGGAAAGGCGGGAGGCCTGGGCAGCGGCTCCCCATGCCCACGCCAGGTCTGTGTACCAGGCCTGAGCCTGGAGGACGGCCGGGCTGGGCCAGCCAAGTGGTGAGCAGGGCAGCCTCCTCCCCGCCCCAGACCAGCAGAGCCGGGAGCTGCCTGCCTCAGCCCTCCCGCGGGTGGGGCTGCTTTTGGTGGCTCACCTCCGGCTGTAGGTGGGATGCAGGGGCCAGCGGGGGCCAGCGAGGGCCACTGTCTCTTTTGGGGGAGGGAATAGGAGGTGAATGGCTGAGATTTAAGGACTTAGACACTCCAAGATGCTTGAGGCAGAGCTTGGAGCTGCTCGCTGACTCCTACCCTCCCTCCCAGGCTGGGGTCAGGGTCAGGGGTGGGAGAGGGGAAGGTGACCCTCAGGCCCCTGGGAACGGGGTCTGAGCCTCCAGCCCCACGCTCAGCCTGAACCAGGCCCAGCCACTCAAACAGGAGACAGACAGAGCTTCACAGCCACTGAGAATTAAAACCCATTGATTTTCCCCATTAGCTAGAGAAGGCCATCCGAGCGCATTAAACCCAGCACAACATCAGCCTTGTGAATAATTAACATTGTTATTAACATTCGCAAATGACAGCCCGGGCCGGGCCCGGGGGAAAGGCAAGGGGTGACTGGAGGCCTGGGGCAGCCTGACCCCTCTCCTCCCGCCTCAGGGAGCCCCCGCCCGGCCTGCCCTCCCTCTCCCTGGCCCCTTCATGCCCACTCCCCTTCTCGCCCCCTGTCCTCCTCCTCAGAGGGTCTGAGGCCCGCGGCCCTGGCTGCCTGGATCACGGAGATGGAGCATGCACAGGAGCTGGGAGCGCCGCTCTGCTCGGCTCGGCTCGGCTCGGCTGCGTGTTCCCCGTGGCCTCAGAGGGGCCTTCCTGGGCTCGTAGGGGCTGGATTCACTGGCCTCCCCGTCACAGAGCATGCAGGTCTGTAGCAGAGCTCACCCTGGACCCCAGGGCCCTGGGTCATCACCCCAGCCCAGCCTAGGGGACTCCTTGGTGCACGTCAGAAAAAGTCACCCCCGTTGGAGAGACTAATTCCAGTAAGGAACCCTCTGGGACGGCCAATTAGAAGGCTCCCTCCTCCCTACGCTGTCACAGTTCTAAAGGTGCGGGGCTTGGGGACCGGCCCCCACTCACCATCTGCCTGGGTCCCCGTGCTCATCCCACACAGCTCAGCGGACCCCACCCACTCCTCACCCCTCCTCGGACCCACGTACCCACTGCCACCCTCCGCCCACAGCCCGTCCTTCCTCCTCAGAGCCGGGGAGGACCAGCTCGGGGCGTGACTACCTCCCACCCCCTGGCTGTGCGGGTTGTACATTGCAGAGGGGGTGAATGGCACTGAAACCCGGCCTGCGATCCACCCGACAAGCTGGCTGGGGCTGGAGCAGGAGGGGGGGGGGAGGCTGCACCTGCCTGGAGGGAGGCGGGGAGCACTGGTTCCTAATGCACACAGGCCCCATGTAGATGCCTGCGGTCCCCTTGGCCTCCCGCCACGAGCCCCGCCCACTGAGGCGGGAATGGGGTCTGCCCTCTGGACTGCGGGGGGCCTGGCACAGAGCAGGTGCTCAGCAAACGTTTTCAGGCAAACACAGTCCTCCGGGATTCCCCCCACCCACCCTCTCTGAGCTCCCCAGGAGAGCAGATGGCTGTGTGCAGCGGGGAGCCGTGCGCAGTACATCAGGGCAGGCCCCGTGGGAAGCAGCCACGTAACTGGACCCAGCGTCCGTGATGCTGACTGCTGAGAGGCGGGGAGGGGAACCCGGGAGCTGAGGGGAAGATGTGTGAGTGGAGGAGTCCGGGATGCTCTCAGGAGCTCAGCGCCCTGCCCATCCCAGAGGTGCCGCCCTGAGCCACCAGCCTCACCAGCTCTCGGAAGCACGGGTGGCGGGTTCAGGTGGCCCGGGCACGCTGGGGAAGCCGGAGGTGGCTTCGGAGGGTCCTCGGAGAGGCAGGCCAGGCTCAGTCGGGGGCAGAACGGGGGCCACGCCCATCCCTCTGCTCCCGTGCTGTGGCCACCTGCTCCCCCAGCTCGCCAGCCCCAGCAGCTCTGGCAGGGAAGGAGTTAACCTCCCCGCTTCTCAGCAAGAATGTGGAGCTATTAATACCCACAGCCTAGCGGTCTGCCAGAGCGGCTCCCATCCCAGTCCGAGGGAGCAGGGAGCAGGGAGCAGGGAGAGAGCGCCGGTCTGGGCAGAGGCAGAGCCCAGCGGGGACCCCAGGTTCGGCTCGCCTTGGGGACAGTGTGGGCAGGGAGCCAGCCTCCCCTGACCCTCACCCACCTTCCGCTTTGGGCCCTGACCCTCCCTCCTGGAGGCTACCCGTGCCACCCACTCCAGGAGAACAAACTTTCTTAGGGGAACCGCCTCTCCTGCCGCGCTGGCTGGACAGGGAGGAGCAGACCCCCGGACGGACGGACTGACGGACGGACAGACGGTCGGGACACCTGAGCCTCTCCCCCGAGTCCCGCCTCTGACGGGCAGCAGCAGAGTGGGCGGCTGAGGGGCAGCCCGGGGCCCGCCGGCCCTTCGCCCCGCAGTGAGCCACCCTGAGTGCAGCGCAGACGCCGCCCACCGCCCCGCACCGCGCCTGGAAGGCCGTGGGTCCGGACAGAGTCCCGGTCACACGGAGCCAGGGCTCCTCCACCCGCCAAGGCGACGGGCAACCTGAGCGCGAAGGCACAGGTGGCGGGCTGGCGGGCGCGGGGCCCCGAGGCCAGCAGGCTGCTGACCCTGGAGCGCTCTGGCTCGGGGACCCCGGCCCCGGCCGCGGAGGATGCCGCCGAGCCGGCCGCCCGCCGCCCCTGCCCCGTCCTGGAGCTGCCGCCCCCCTGGCCCCTGGGCTGCGGGCCGGAGGAGGCGCCCGCCTTCTGCTTCATCTGCTTCCACAGGGAGGAGGAGGAGGAGCTGCTGGAAGAGGTGCCGCTGCAGAGGTCAGTGCCCCGGCGGGCAGGGGGTGGGCAGGGCTGGCGCACAGGGCCCTGACGGACGTGGGGCCCCTGGGACCTGGCGGGCCTGCTCCGGAGTTTCTGGGTCCACTGCTTACCTTCCGGCGCCACCTCCTGCACCAGACACTCCGGTCTCCCACCTGCCTCTGCTCTGTCTCCCCGTCCTGGTCCACAGGGACCCTTCTGCCCTCTTCCATGGGTTCATGGCCCTCCCGCTCAGAGCCCTCCCTGGCTACCGGCTCCCACAGCATGGAATGGACACTCGGTCGGGCACTCGGAGCCTGTGGGATCTAGCTGACCCACCCACCTCATCTCGCTCTGCTCCCTGCACTCACCCTGGCAAACTCTGCCAGACTTCTCTTCCCCGCCCAGCCAGCCCAGCCTGGGCCCGCTGCACTGCTCCCTCCGCTGGGAGGTCCTTCAGGAACCCAGCTCCACCCGGAGCCAAGAGTCACCTTTACGCCCTGCACTGAACCGACACCTAATGGGCTTGGATCTTTTATATATATATTTATTTCAGAGAGGAAGGGAGAGTGAGAGAGAGAGATTGAAACATCAGTGATGAGACTCATTGATTGGCTGCCTCCTGCACATCCCTCACTGGGGATGGAGTCCACAACCTTGACTGGAATCGAACCTAGGACCCTTCAATCCACAGGCTGATGCTCTATCCACTGAGCCAAACCGGCCAGGATGGGTTGAGCCTTTGTTTTAAATTAATTAGTGAGTGGAAATATCTGTCGGGGTATATTCGTGTGGTGGAGGGGAGTGAAGGTTTGTGTGACTGTGTATTCGGGGTGAGTGTGTGCTTGTGAGTGTACGTACATGTTTGTGGGAGCCCGTGTGACTTCCGTGTAGCCATGAGGAAGAGGGTTTGTGCCGAGGTCGGGGTTCATGCCCTAGGGGCCATCGTCCCTATGGCCAGCTCTCCCCACCCCGTCTGCAGGGAAACCCAGGCTCCGGCCAAATGCATTGCCCAACCTGTGACCTCAGGCTCCCAGGATGGACAGCAAAATCTAAAGGGATGACAAAGGTCACCTCTGCCGTGACCCAGCCCGCCCTCACGTCCGTCCGTCACCGCCTCAGTCAGCACGGCCCGGCGTGGGGAGAAGGGCAGGCCCGGGGCCAACCCAGGTGGCCCTCTAGCCCTTCGCAGCAGAGCGGGGGGGGGGGGGGGGGCCGCCTGCTGCCTGGGCCGCTTCCTCCCGGAACCTCTCTGTTCGCCCCCTGGCCTGTGAGTTTCCCTCTGGGGGCCTTTGTCCCCTCATCTGTGACATGAGGCGGTGCTTCTGCCAGGGTCATCGGGGACTGAGCACCCTCAGAGGCCAGCCTTGCTGTGGGGCTGGGGCCCAGCCCTCAGAGGTCACAGCCTGCTGGGAGAGACGGACAAGCAAGCAGGTCGGTGTGACAGAGCGCCGGGCGCCTGGGTAGGCGTGAGTGCCTTGTGCTCGGGGCCAGGGAAGGCTGGCCACCCAGGAGCCCTGCCGGCCTGTCTTCCAGCCCAGACCACTTCAGGAGACTCAGAATGCCAGGTCGTAGATGTGGACGTGCTTCTTGAACTCCAAAACAACGAAGCCCTAAAGCACATGTGTCAAACACAAGGCCCGCGGGCCAAATCCGTCCCGCCAGGCCTTGCAATGTGGCCCGCACCGTGCTGTCATCACTGCACTGCGCTGCGTTTCCATCACAATGACAGTTTATGACAGTAAACCATTCGGCCCGAGATTTAGGCTGGATTTTAGATTTTGGCCCCTTCTCTGATTGAGTTCGACACCCCTAAAGAGTTGCTGTATTTATTGTAGAATGAATGAATGAATATGACACGGGGAGACAGGACATCACAATCATCAGAAGACATGCTTTGTTGAATGAATGAATGAATGAATGAATATGACACGGGGAGACAGGACATCACAATCATCAGAGTTGATTGTTACAAAATACACACTGTCCTGGCGGTTTTGCAGGCTCAGGCCTCAGAGGAGACGGGTGTGTGATTTTACTCAGTCCCCAGCTGAGCAGCTTGAGCAAAGCAGCATTCGGGACACCTGGGAACGAGAGACACAGGCCTTAGGGTCAGGCAGCCATGAGTTCCTGCCCTCGTCCCTCCTCCTCCCCCATCTCCCACCTCCAGCTTTGGGGATCCCCTTCTCGGGGGAGGCCCCTCTGCCTCCTGCGCTGGCAGTATGGTGGCCTATGTTTGCAGTCTGCTACCCTGCTGGTAGATGCTAGCCCTTTAAGTCCTGGGGAGAGGACACTGCCAGGCTGGGCAGAGGCACTGACCACAGGTGCCAGGTGGTGAAGCTAAAAATACTGAGTGATGTGAGCACGGAGGCCGCAGGGGCCTGGCCTGCTGCTGGGGTGGAGGGAGGGGGCCCGGAGTGCTCTGTCCGCCTGGAGGAGGGCCAATGGGCAGAGGGGTCGGTGGGTCACCTTGGGGGCTTCAGCCTGCCCCCCGACCTCGCTCCTCCCAGGGCCAGGATTCCCTCCCAGTTGGGCGGCCATGTTAGCCGCCGTGGGGCGTGCTGATTCCACTGCATCCTCTTCCCCGTGCCCCTGGGGAAAGCATATCTTCTCTCAGGGCCTCTGCAAAGTTAGACAGCTGAGCTTTCTCGTCACTTCCAGGGACAGAGAGGCCATGGGGGTGTAGGTGACCAGGTCAGTCATTTGTGGATTCAACAGCCTTTCCCTGAGGCCTCCTGGGACTGGCTGCTGAAGCCCAGGGATGAGCATGGCAGGCGCCTCCTGGAGGGCCTGGTGAGGACACGCGTGTGCTGCGATGGAGAGTGAGCACCGCACCCTGGGCTCCCCAGAGCTGTGAGGAGCTGCCCTCAGAGAGCGCATCTGCCTTTGATGAAAACCTGTCAGCAAAAGCGTCACCCACAGCACTGCTCACCCGCCTACACAGGTGCTTGGACGTGGTCATTAAGGTTGTGACAAATAAGCCTGGAAATCACAATGGCTTGACTCAGCAGAGCCTCTCTCCTGCTTATGCAAAGTCTAGGGGTGGGGGTGGGGGAGACTCTACCCCCTCAGTCTTTTGGGGACTCAGGCCCCACCCACCTGGTAGCTCTGTCACCTCCCTCTGCAGCCACTGGCAGATGGAGAGAAAGAGAACAGGGGTCACGAGTGAAATCTTCCTGAGCCAGCGTTGGAAGTGGCGCCCTTCACTTCCGCCCACACTCGTTAGCCAGGACAGCTAATTGCAAGCGAAACTGGGAAACCGGGTCCAGCGGCGACAAGTCCACGGGCTCTTGTGTGAAACACCACAAAAAGCACGTGGTATGTGTGAGAGCACCTGCTATGTGACAGGTGTCCAGTGTGTCCATTCACTCACGCATTCCACAGTCTAGAAAGCAGGCAGTGAAAATGCCATCCCTGCTCTCCTGGGGCTTATGTTACAGGGGGAGTCAAAAAACACAAGCAAGCAAATACGTGGATATGGTCCCCAGTATGCAAAGCCCACCGTTAAAAACATAGCCAGAAGGATGGTGGGGACATCGCTATTCCTACCTAAAGAATAAGAAGGGCCCTGGTCGGTTTGGCTCAATGGATAGAGCCTTGGCCTACGGACGGAAGGGTCCTGGGTTCGATTCCAGTTAAGGGCACATGTCCAGGTTGCGGGCTGGATCCCCAGTAGGAGGCCTGCAGGAGGCAACCAATCAATGATTCTCTCTCATCATTGATGTTTCTCCCTCTCCCTTCCTCTCTGAAATCAATAAAAACATATTTTAAGAAAGAATGAGAAGGAGCTGGGCAGAATGGAGGCAAGAGCATCCAGCAGGAGCAGAGAGTGCAAAGGCCAAAGCAGACTGGAGTTTGATGAGTGTGCGGGAATATCAGGCAGTGTGGCCAGGGCAGAGTGAATGGTGGGGAGAAGGACACAGCTGATGGGGAGGGACAGGTAGAAGGAGGTCCCACAGGTTCTGTGGACCACGGTGAAATGGATTTTCTCTGGATGGGACTGGGGAGCCTTTCGAGGCTTTTCATTAAGCACAGGAAGCGGTATACAACCTGATTGACATGTTAAGCCATCACTCAGCAGCTCTGGGGAGACTCTGTAGCGGCTGGGTCAGAGTGAGCACAACGTGGAGGTCATGGTGATGGTGGAGGGGGCGTGGCGGTGGCCTAGACGGAGGCCGCCCTTGGAGGAAGTAGATGCCTTCTAGATATATTAGGAGGCGGAACTTGCTGGTGGCTTAAGGAAGAAGGAAGGGGGTGGGGAACAAACCTGGGGTTTCTGCGTTGGATGATGAAAGGCGGGAAGAGGCATGCATGGTAAGAAACTCAGGAATCCTGCTACGGAAGCTTCCATCTTGAGGAGCACGTGAGAGGTCCAAGAGGAGATGGCAAGTGAGGACCTGACACTGAGAGTCTGGAACGTCAAGGGGGTCTCTGGGCTGGTGATAGACCACCTGCGACAACAGAGGTGGCGTTGGAGGCCATGATGTTACACAGATAGAGAGGCGGGGAGAGGCCCAGGGTCCAGCCCTGAAGAGCGCCGCGACTTAGAGGTCACGGGAAGGAGAAGCCAATGAGGGTGGAAGAGGAGGAGCAGCTGGCCACGCGGGAGGAAAGCCAGGGTGGGCAGCCATGGGGCCAGGAGAAGGTGCCCTGGGAGGAGAGAGGGATGGACAACTGACTTCAAAGGTGTGAGCAGCGGGAAAGCAGGCTGGGTTTAGCGACTGAGGAGAAGTCCACGTTGCCTGGGATAAGACTGTTTCGGGGGTGTGGGGGGGGGGAAGTGCAGAGAGAAGCAGGGCTGAACGGAGACTTCTGGTTAAAGACGGTGGGTTGAAGCGCACATTTCAGTTCTGTGTCCTGGGTCCCCATCGGAAGGAAGCGAGGGGTCATTTCAGGCCGTGCAGTGGGTAATCCGCAGTTTCACTTTCTGAACGTGGAGTGACCTGAGGTCAACTGCGGTTGGAAAGTATGAAAAGAAAAATCCCAGCCCTGCCCAGTGCGGCTCAGCTGACTGAGTGTCA